TTCTTACTGAGGGTGCTTAAATATCGGCGCACATGGCCGTGCCTACTTGGCTACAGGAAAAAAATTGCTTCCAGTTTGAACTTTGAACCACAGGTATTACTTTTTACTTTCGTTCAATATTATAGATGATTTTCAATGTCGTTGTATTACACAACATATAACATAATATATGTACCGTTACATAACGGTTAACTGAATTTCTTGATTTCTTAAAAAGTTGTTTCAAATAGAACTTTTATTGAAACCAGAGAAAGGCAATAAGAAAAAATATGCAATGCTGGCACATTTTAGGGCCTCCTAAAAAGGCAAGTGATTCCATAAGAATACTCTGATTCGTTAATAACGATTAAGAATAAAAGAAACTTGAATAAAATTATTTAGAATAGTCCATAAAAATGGATTTTACATTAAAAAGAATATGTGAGAAGATGAATAAATATTTAACATTTTATTATTTAATTATAAGTAAATATATACTAATAATATTAATTAAATAATTATTAATAATTAATAACTAATTACTTTGATAAATTCTTGATACTCTGAACTGTCCACTCATCAACTTTTCCATACATGTATAATTTTAAAAAGAATTATATACCTGAAAATAAAGAAAAGTTCAATATCTACATAATCATTAGTTTAATGATCTATATTTATTGATAAGGCTTTTCTAGTTCCTTTAACGATCTATGTTAGTCATTAAATTACTTAGAGCTTAAAAATATATTACTAACTATATTCTTCATATTTCTCTACTCTCTTCGTAATAACAATCATGATTTATCGGCTTCACAAACTTCCCCTTGGTCAATTGAAATAATTAAACGAACTTTTTACAGAGTTGAACATTTTAAGAATGAATGGAAGAAAGTTTCTACGATGAATCGTTAGGTCGTAAAAAGGACGGGGCTTTAACAAGGAAGGTTGGCTTCTTTGCTCTGTTAAAACAACTCAGATGATCGGAAGTGATCTGCGGCCATATTACATTTGAAATCTCGTTTCAGCGCGGGTTATACATAGATGGGAAACTTTAAAAGATTAGAATGCAATTTGCGGTAGACACAGAATATAGGAAAATGAATGCTGCATTGTAGTTTGTGGATACATTTTCTTTTAATACCTATTTTTCATTTACGGTGAATTACTTTCGTTTGAAAATTTTCACCGAAATTGGAGCTACAAAGCAGCGCATATCATATCGGAATTTAATAGTTTCCTTCTTCGTCTTTTAATTACCGGTAGACACATTTCTCCCTTAATTACCAATTTTGAAACCAAACAGTTTATAATTATTGTTTCATTTAATCAACAGATGTCACTTCACATAAATATCAATTCAATAGTAAATTCTATAATCAATGTCACATATTTTTGTAATTAAAAAAAATTAAATGACGTAATTACTAATAATTAGCAGACGAAGTCATTCAACATAGGAAGAGGAAATTACTTAGAAGTAAAATTAACGTGAACAAACGTTGTTGTTATTATTATTACTATTTAACCCGTATTACAATAATTCAGTGTGAACATTAATAGCGTATAATTCATATACTATTGCTTATATTGCAATAGACAATATTTTCATTTATTTATAAAAGCACTTCTGAAGAAAAACTAAATGCAATGGGTGCAGTGCTCATTAAACGAAATAATTACTTATCGAACATTCTTACTCTAAAAGAAGTGTATGCTCTGTCAGCATAATCTCATTTAATTTTGTTTGCGACTGACAACCACTTACCCTAGAAAGAATGAAATTCTTTAGAGGTACGATTCTGTAACAAAGTGGAATTAATTATGCCACTTCCTTTCTCATTCTACGTTATAACGTGAAAACTCCGACCGTATTTCATGAAACATTTTGTACTTTCCTCAGAACATTCCTATGCTGTCGAGGGGCACATAAATTTCATTTTCATCTCCGATATGAGCGTCAGAAAAACCACAAGAATCCGCGAGCGAGCGTTGCATAATCGTTTCATATCCAATTTCCCAGGCGCAGTCGATTTGGAAATCAATGGGAAAACATAAATTTCTGGCAGTATATTCCGTTAAACGTTTACTGCTTTGTGGTAAAGATTGACAATTCGGCTGGCCGTTTTATGTGTTTCTTGAATTTTAATGCCAAGCAACCGTGTCTGCGCAAACGCTTCGTCCTGTGGCGGCGTTAAGCTTTACGACGTTAAACCTCGTAAGGAGTTACGATCGTGTATTATGTAGACGTCAGTAACCTGTGTAAATTCCATCATACAAAGTGACACTTTGACAAATTGTTACGCATCATTCCATTCATTCTGGAATTTATTAGGATATCGAGAAACAATTGGACGTCGTCATTTATGTATTTGTGGTGTCATAATTTATTATGTTATATACAATATATTTCCAGGTATTTCATATAATTAATAATATGTGTAAGAAATTCAATTTGTATTTTCATATTTTCACTGCATGAAGTGCTGTTCTGTATCAAAATATTATGCACATGAATTTATTTCAATAAATCAATGAAGTATAATGTTTGTGGATTGATATTTTTATAAAGAATATAATTGTACAAAACGAAAATAGTATATTTGATATAATTTAATAACAAACTTGGTTTATAAAATGTAAATTTCTATTTGTATTCCATTTTATTAATTACAGACAATCTCAGAAATTCTACATATTTTTTAAGTGACAACTCTAATTTTATAGTTGTGTATACATGTATGTATTCAATATTTACAATTATTAAAACGATTTGAATCAGTACAGGTAAAGAAAACCAAATCATAAAAAATTTCTTTTCACCAAAGCAGAAACTTCAAACATGTTACGACGAATGGTGTTCAATATTCAAATGTTTGAGATGACTTCTGCTATTATCAACATTCCGTTGGACAATAATAGTTAGAATGTTACTGTAAATTGTTGAACTTAGCTGAGCTCAAAGATTTGAGCAAGAGTTATCCTCCAACGACGTTATTACATTTTAACCGCTCATGAATTTCGTTCTCGGAAATTCAAAGGGGCCGTAATAATAATGTGTCTTCAGAAGAAGCCCATTTTCCTTCTGCTTAATTTACGAAGAGAAGTTTTCGCTACTTTATTAATTCCTCTACTTTAAAAAGTCTGTATTTTTCAGTTCATGAGCGTTGTCCTCAATAATTTATTTGCGATGGAAGCAGATACGGAACGATAGTATTGTACTCTTACTTTATTCGAGGATATTCGTTTTCGTGACCTCGTTTGATAGACTGTAAAAAGTACCATCTGTTGAAGACTGTATTATGTAAATCATGATTCGTGAGTGACAGATGGTGCATCGTCCTTATAGATTGCGATGCACCTTAGATTTTATGTGACCATCTATCTCCTTATAAGTTTATTAAACTTTACATAGGATCGCGAACGTAAAACTTGGAACTTGTATCATTGATAAAGAATTAATTATTTTATTGGTATACAATCTATCGCATTAAGGAAACAGTAAATATGAATTCAAATTCAGTAGTAATATTAATTGCATTATAAAACACTAATAATCAATTTTGATAATAAACAATTCTTTTAAGAACTATACGATATTATTTAATTTAACTGAAATTACAATTCTCAGCTTAAAACTAAATACGACCTATCATGTTTCCTCGTTTTATTAATTAATTTCTCACAGAAATAAGCTTTATATGCATAAATAACAAATATAAAATTTACTGACATACACATAGCTGTAACTAATTCACAAAAGAAATATACAAGGTAGACAAAAATTTACTATTTAACATTTATTTAACTACCTATTTATTTTACTAACAAATTATACACGTCCACAAAAAAATCCAAAGATACAATCCCCATCAAAATAAACTCAAAACCGGCGGAGTCGAAAGTTATAAATGAATGATTTAATTAATCAAGTAACGAAAGATTAATATTTGGGTTTAAAAAATAAAGGAACACTGGAACAAAACATGGAATTCATCGTCTAATCTGCGATTAATAAAAGTTAAAGACAACTTCTTTAAGAAATCCCCCGCACGCTCTCTACCTAGACGAGATCAAACTGTATCAGAGTCATAATAGGTCACTCAAAAATCACGCATCAGTATCTACTCAACAAGGAAGAAACGTCAACCTGCGAACTATGCAAAACACGCCCGACTTTAGAACACACCATCGTTCACTGCGGAAGATACACTGTTAGTAGCCAGCAATTTAATATTAACCCCACCAAGGAAGACAACTTAAAAGAACACAAACCTATCGAAGACCTACTAAAATATTTGAAACACGCCAAACTATACAGCAAACTGTAAACCCCCACTGTATGTTGCTAATAACTTCAGTGAGGTTGATGCGACAATATCCGTTTGAGTTCTACGCGCCGCTTTCGCGCTCTTCAGATTTCATGTCGAAGAAATCCAGCGCATTTGAACGATACGAACAACTGACGGCGCATTCACAATCTGGCTAAACGTGCACAACTTTTCAGACGCATACTTTTTTTTATATAAGTAATTCAAATAATACATTTTGTATTTTGTTGTTACCTATTATAAATTAATATACATTTATAATAGTATTAACATAGATTAAGCAAGCGCTACCGCGCTGCTTGGCATTTCTCGACATGAAATAAAAAGAGTGCTATCGCGCTGCTTGGCTTTTCTGGACACAAAAAGGAGCGCTATCGCGCCGCTTGGCTTTTTTGACTGTTTTCTTAAAAACCTGTGGTCTTCAAACGGTTAAATATATATATAAAAAAAGAAATGCTTGGTTTTCTTCTTTTCTGGTATTTAAAGCTTCAATGTATAATCCAGATTATTATAGACAGACTTTTTAGGCTGTGAACAGTGCTCGTTTACATAGGGTAAAGATACACCAGCAATAAAATTAGAGCTGCATTGACCTGAGTTCGGAAATACCAGGCTGGGTGACCGATGCCGAAGAAAAAAACCGACAATAAAACCCGGCAATCGCCGTTTCAGCGTTCACAGCGGCCAAGATTCACGAGGTCATGATCATCGTCGTCAAAGTCCCCGGCTTTCGGGACGAACACGGTATACACCGTCGAAGTGTCGTCGGCCAGCCACGGATTGGTTGGCGGGTGGCGCGCGGGTGCTTCCAGCTCTGACGTCACGCTTCGCCCAGTTTGAAATGGTCCCGGCCGTCAGTCGCGCGCCGAACGTCGAACTGAATGCATGGTGGTGTTCCTCGTTTTCTCCCTGTCGACCCTTCGAAAGTATCGATACAAATTATTCGGTGATAATAAAATCAAACGGTGCCAGTTATCCATTGATCCTCGTAACAAACCAACGCGTGACATAACCTCTAACGCACCAACTGTCATTAGTGTATTGTGTCCGAAGGAAAAGTTGCATATATTATAAATCTTCTCTAAAACACCCTTCGATTCGATTGTTGTCGATGAACGACAATACCGAACGAGGGAACGACTTCCCCATTTTCTTCGAGTAAATCAAAGCTTCGTGTGCGATCCGCGGAATGTTGTCGAGCGATGGATAAGCTTACCCGAAGGAAAGGGCGTCGATCCGAGCAACGTTTGATCACGGGACCACGTGGTTAGTGTACAGCGATTGTGTGACCAACGAGTTTAATAGAAATTGAAGAATCATTGAAATATTAACTGTAGAGTGGTCGTTATGATGTGTTTCCACTGTCGAGTGGTGGTTTAGCTCCCGTTTGACGAGCATAACCTATTGCGAAACCAATTCGTTCGATCGCCTGAGTGACGGGGACCATTTTATGGTGGTGCATGGACCGCGTGTCGAGTATCGCTGGGATCTGTTCGCGTTGATTTAATATGCGTGTCGCGGGGAAACGGACCGACGATACATTCGACGCCGGGCATCTGACTTTGACGTATCCACGGATGCCCCTTGAGGCGTGACTCCTCGCAACTCTCTCCGTCAGAGGTTGTGTCGCCGCGGGAAAGTGTTTTGCTCCGTTTGGTACTTCGCGTCAGTGACAAAGCGCGGGGTGATGTGCTGGTGTCTGTGTCGCGTCGGCTGAGCAGTGCGCCGCGGTGTGTACCGGATGCCAAGACGATAATCGGTTCCTTGTCTTGAGGCCGCCGCGACCTGTCTCATCATGCTGATGATCGTTTTGCTGTTCCTTCTGGGCCAACCGCTCGCGTGGGCTGACCATTTGGGTGAGTCTACGATTTATTTGTTGTTTGCGCTTCCCGCTGCTGGACTGCGGATTTTGTGGTCGGTGTTAGGCGTCGGAAGTATGGTGTGATTGAAAGGTTTTAGAAAATTGATATTTACGTACACAAATTTGTGGGAACAACGATTGCAGTGAAATTTAATTTTTATAATGTTAATAATGGCTTTTGTAAGTGAAGTTTGAAATTGTATTTTATATGTCTATATTATTGTAAATTTTTAATAATGATACGCGTGTTTATTCATTGTAAAAAGAGTAAAATGAAAATATGTATTTATACACATATCTGCAGTCTGTTTATTAGGTTGCTTAGAAGTGACATGTTCTTTGGCATATTTTAACCATTTTGAAGGTGCTATAAGATTAATGTTTTATTATGAAGACTGAAATTTATAATCGATCAGAAGGAAAACAAATTCAATTTATTTATGTATTTTCAAAGAGAAAGTATAATACAATATAGAGGATGGTTTTATAAATTAATCATACTTTAATAATTAATAGGTATATAAATTTTCTTTTGTTATATCACTAAAATGAGTTATAGATAACATTTGTTATCGTTCGTATTAAGCGTGAATTTTGTTTTTAAAGGGAAAAATTAACATTTGATAATTATTTATCTTATATGATTTTACAAATTCGCTTAATTTTATACTTAAAATTAGGCAATAAAAATTAGGGGAAATGTATTAGAAATTGTAAAATTACGTGAACACGTTATCATAACTTAAATTTTTAGTTGTTAAATGAAACTGACATTTAAATTTAAAGTAGATACTAAATTGATGTTGGTCATTTCAGCCCATAACACGATTGTTTCATGCGTAGCACTTTGAATAAAGTATTGCATGGAATTATAAGGACTTTAGTCACTTAAATCATTATACTAATATGTTATTATCAGCCGGCTGATTGGAAAATATTGAATTTGGTATTCGAGTCATTAATAATTTTACTGTCTAATGATATATGGAAACCGTAATGAATTTTACTGCAATTGGTGCCATTTCATCATCGAGGTGATTCCTTGTGGCCATAAAATCATGTTATGTATTGACAAGTTTTAGTCAAAGTCTCGATCAAGATTTATGTATGTTCACTGAAAGAATATTCAATAAGAAAGTTGTTTATTCTTCGAGTAAAAATTTAAAAACATTCAACTTAATCGTTAAAAATTGATTCTTACAATTAGTTTTCAATATTAATTCTGTTTCTTATCCTTGTCTAAGAACTATAAACAGATATATGTTATACTGAAAGGATGGGTAGATAATATTAAGTCTTAAAAACAGTAAACTCAATTAGTACTTTTCGACGTTGAATTTGTCAATATGGAATTACACATTAGTATTAGTAAGTACAATATAAGTCAAAAGTTAATATTACAATATTATCATTCTATGTTCGAATCATTTATTCTAAAAATAAATATTTCAACCTCTTTAGAACCGAATTCTTTTTTAGAACAAATACAGATGACTCTAGTTTTTGTTTGACTACAGTTTAGTTTTTTAAAACTGATACGAATTAAACAATATGAAGACGGACGGAGGCATTTATGAAAAACATACGAAGAAAAAGTATGTGACCGTTCGATGGACGTTAATGTTAGATTAAGATCAAATGTTCACATATGTGCAAGTATCTTTGAAGATTTTAAAGGAGAATATAAAACGTTAGCAGTGGTAATTGTACTCACAATTTCCATTTCCCCGTAAGAAATAATTTTTCCTTAGTATCTTTTTGTCATGAAGGCAGACGCGAATGAATTGTAAAACCCTATGAATTTTAATCGGACCTTTGCGTGTGTGTATACATATACATATACGTATATCTATGCCGGCGTTTTATGCTCGTCTTAAAATTTCGTCGTAAAGAAGTTTTCGAGTTTAAGGTTTCGTGTCTCCGTACCGGAGTGATTCGTTAACACTCGGAGCTCCGTTCAGAAATCTGACCTGGTTAACACATTGCGTACTGGCTAATTTTCAGAAAACTGAATTGTGTGGATGGCAATTTTCATTGAGGTCAACTTATATCACTGTACATAGAAAAGCTTAGATATCATATTGTTATGTAATATATTTTAAATAGATAATGAATTCGAGTTAAATTTTATATCTTTTCAATGCTATGGTAATTAGCGAAGTCCCATAGCTAAGTGTCTTTACATAAAAACGAGATTTCTCGTTACCGGTACGCAATGTGTTAACATCATTAAATCCTACGCATTCTTATATCTCCACGGTTCCGTAAATGGCCCCTTACACGCGGTGTTCCTTTTTTACGATACGCGTGTTGGAGGAAATAGAAAATTATTTCATTGTTAGCGAAGACAACGTTAGGAACGAAAAATTATCAAACTGAATAGGTTCCTTTTTGGAAAAAAACATTTGTATTATTTTCTAATAAGAAATATTTATGTTTCCATTGTGAAGTCCTTGTACAACTCTTCATTCTTTGCTCACGTAATTACACACGTTATTAATAGAACAATACGTTAGAATGATTTAAGCGTTATGTGATCATGTATTTTTATCCTTCGGTGGCAGTGCTATAAGAAAACGTTATTCCAAGTTCCGCTTGATGTAATAAACTTTGTAACTTGTTTTGCCACGTTATTCCACGAGAGTTGTCATTTCTTATGACAACGTTGTTCATTGGTAGATCATCGGTGCAGTAATAGTTCAAAATAGAAAATGTTTGTAACATACTTTCAGCATTTGATCATCAGATATAAATGAAATTAGATGCCAAGCTTCTTGATGATTTTGAATTCCAATACACAACTTCTGAAAATTAGTGTAAAAGCTTAAATTTGAAAGAAATTGAATTATTACAATACAATCTAATTATTACAATTTTTTATTTTTGTCATTCACTCTACTTTCTCCCTTTAACTGCAGACTTTAGATGTTAATATTTAAAAAGATGTTGAGATTATGAAGAAGTAATTTTTACATTAAAATTAAAATAAATCTAAGAAGATTTCAATATTGTTGGCGTAAGAAGTTTTCTTTCTCAGAAGTTTCCGTTTAATCGTAAGTGACTTCAACTGTCGTTTCCCTAAATCTAGGAAACCCGTAACGGTAATATAGCATAATCGCTTAATGAAGTTAAAGCCGTAGTCCCCGCTACGCGGATGTCTGTAACACTGGCATCTCGGTGGATATTAGTTAGAAATGTCTCGTTTCGAGGCGTCACACTGCAAACCTTGGTTGCATATCTCTGCCCCGTATTAAGCTGGATTCTCACTATCCGATAACTCATTAGTCTCTGTCGAAACATTCGTCTAATAATGTATAGAGAATAGCACTACACAAATAGCATGAATATTACAAATTGTCATATAAAATCCATTGAAATATATTTCGACTGTATGCTTAATTTGAGTCAACAACTGATAATTTAATGTCTCACTTTGTTTTGTATCTTAAATAATAATATCAAATTTCAATGTCACAGTAAACAATGAATTTAAAAACTGAAAACTAAATTAATAAAGTATTCATTTTGTTTGGATAACTTCATTTCATATACCAATATCGAATGATTATTAGTGATGATTTTTATGCTACACATTTATTCACTAATAAGTAAATTGCATTTATTACAATTCATTTCTTAATTATATGTTACTTACTTTTATCGTATTTCCTATTGTTTTTCTATTGCACGACAAATTTTCTTTTTGATAATAATAAAAAAAGAAATAAAGAGATATCATGATTATAGAAGAAAATATCGATGTAGACGTTATAAGCAAGAATTTAGTTTATGTAAATTCATCTCTGTAGTGAAAATCGTGAAGATTGGAACTCTGCTGTTGGAGACATTCAAGCTTCCAAGAAACGTTGTTAGATTTCCTTGATGGTACAAGAATTTGTTCGAAACTACGCCTGGAAGCATTCATAGAAACGATAACGTGTTTTCTGATAATTCTGCTAATTAAAGGTCTATGGAGTGTCGTGCACTGTCTTATATTAAACCTTTTTGCACCCGGGGATCGATACAGATCGTTCGAGATCCTTCTTTAAACGAATGTTAGCAACTTTGATGGAATTTATCGAGGCACGTAATATTGGAATATGATATTTGCGCAACAACTTGGTGGTGTATGTCTTCCTCGGCAATTTCCTACGTTCTTTGAATTTGCTTGATGCAAAGCACTTCATTTGATCATACAGTCAATTTAGTCAGAATCGTTAACCGCAGAGGTACTGTGAAAACCAAGTATCGTATTCATATTGCAAATTCAGTGCATATTGCACAGTAAATTGAAGTGGAATACCGATTTTTATATTTTTTTCTTTCATTGAGTTATTTAAGAAAAAAATCTATATACTTAGATACTTTAAAATTCTTCTTTTAACCCTTGACCTACAATGTCGTGTCAGACTCGTGGCGAAAATTTTAAACTGAAACTTTTTTTTAATATTCATTAAATATTACATTTCTATATTTGCATCAAAATTTTGCCTTTTCCTCATAAATTATTAACGATAAAGTAGTTGTAAAGATCATAGTTAAGAAATAAATTATCTTTTTAATGCAATATTTTGCATTTTCAAGTAATGAAAACTAATAAATTATTTGATCCTACCAGCCTTTGCCCATTCAATACCTATCAAGACATTTTCGAAATGAAAATCGAAACCGTAACCATAGTAACGGCATAATTTCAAATTCTCGATTTAACTTTGAATTTGAAATATTACCATTACATAGTTAAACGTGGCGTAATACGAATTTATGATAAATGGATCGGATTATAGTAATATTATTTGTACAGGAACTGTGAATGACTAAAATATGAGCTTACTGCAATTAAGTAGTAAAACAGAATATCTGCGAATATTCGAGTCGCCCCGAATCTCGTAATAAAAAAACGGGACGTTTATTGATCTCTCTAAAGTGGTGCGTAACAATTTTTGTTTGCATAAGCATCCGTAGTCTAACTTCTTGTAATTCGTTGTAACAGCA